TACCAACGCATTACTACTACAATCTCTTACTTCGATTGTAATATTTGATAATACTAAATCAAGAATTCTACCAAACCCATTAAAATTCCCATTATATTGACGTAAATTCAATATATATTTTTTTATCTATTAATAACGCTTCATTCATTGAATTGTAGTTATTCGGATCAAGTGACAGATCATCAGTCGCACTAGCCGTCCAAACTATATTGCTCATATTAAAGTCACCTACTATTATAAAACTACTCTTCGGATTGGACATAATTATATTATTCAATGAGCTTATTGTCATATACACATATCATAATATCTATATGTATGATATGTGGACAATATATTTTTTGCCCATAGTGTCACACAAATAGGCCATATATTTTTCTTTTTCTGGCTTTACCAAATCTATTAATTGCTTTTTAATTATATCCTCTTGGAACGAGATACCTTCTTCTGTGAGCCAATTTAAAATATCTGCTTGAGCCAATTCATAGTTGGTACCCGTTCCAAGCGCCGGTAGTAATAGGGTGCATTGTCCAGAACTAAGATAGAGTTAGGCTCTAATTTTTTTTTCTAATTTCTGACAGCCATTCTTCAATTTTCAGGGAATTCCTTTTGTGATGATATTCTCCATTTTTCAAAAATTAGCTCTCTATTCTCAACGACTCCATCTGCATTTGCTATAATCATAAAAATAATAATATTAACAAGCAACGTATCTGTCTGTAACAGATTAAAATATTTTTATGACACACCATAAAAAAATTATGCTGATGGCAAAATAGAATATATCCCGCATATTGTATTGTTATATAATTCAACTAAGGTACTACACCCGAAGCCGACAATGGATAACTCTGATTAGTCAGTCTTCAATACTGCATTCTCAAACCTAACAAATATAGAGTTTATAAAGTGTATTCTTTTAGTAAACTGCTTTGTTTAAAAAGTCTTTATTGGGAGCATCAATAGAAAAGATAATAATTCTTGCCATTCAACAAGTAAGCTGATACAACAAGTATTATTGTAATCACCCAATCTACCGAAGTAAATCAATAAGTGTTTTTATAAGGTATTTGACACTATTAAAAATAAGTTGCGTGTTATGGTAAAACTGTTATATAATAATCTAATAAAGTTTATTTCTTAGAATCTGCAGACAAAATATTTTTAGCTTTAGTAAAATAACGTAAAGATGCACTTAAACCAAACGAACCAAAGAACACGAGCATTCTTTCTTGTTATTCTGACGTAAATGAAAATTCGTCGTAAGCGTTTACACTAAAATAATATCAACAAGCAAGAATTTTCATTATTCTCTATGTGCTGATAAAGTCCTTTTTCGTGATATTTGACCTAGAATCGAACTTAACTAATTCCATTTGTGTATTGACCGTTTGGATAAAACCCGTATGTTCAGTAATGCACATGAAAGTATTTGTGTTCGCTCATTAATCTCCCGCCATCAACGATTAAGACGTGAGTGTTGTGTTGTGTAAACAACTTTAAAACATTAGTTTAAGGAGTGGAAAGACAATAAAACTGGTAACTACACAGTTTATTTACATCATTGTTAATGTTATTAGGGTTTGTTACCCAAAGGGTAAAACGGGTACCCTATTACTGAGACTTCACTGTCTGTCTATCCTTCTGTTACCAGGCTATATATCTCATTAACCGTGATAGTTCGAAAGTTAAGATTTTCACATATACATGCACACGTATTTCCGTTGGCGCTGTCACAACAAATACTATAAAATAGGATAAAATAAATATTTAAGGGGGCTCCCATACAACAAACGTGATTTGTTTGCTCGTTTTCAGTACGGTACCCTTCGTGCGCGATCCCGACTCGCACTCGGTCGGTTTTTAATTATAATCCCTTAAGGTTTTTGATAATGATCGTTCATAGCTCTCTAATTTTAATACGTATAATCCCAACTTAAAACGTGTATTTCGCGGTTTTATTCCATTGTTCATAGTTGTGTTTAATAGAAATATGGTAGATGATTTCATCAAGAGCCGTACGACGCCCACTGTTGCGTATAGGCCTCTCCATTGATCTCGTTAAGTTTCGAAGAAATAACGTTAAATAGTGACATTCTTGTATACTTTAGCACTTCGATATAGCTGTAGTCCACGTGACACCTTTGGAGAGACCGTAGCAACGCCCATGTCCCAATCGAATCAAAAGCTTTCTCGTAGTCCACAAACGCTAAGAATAACAGCAAGTGATTTCGTCATCACCCACCGCCTTGTTGTTTTTAGTTGTTTAAGAGTCGTTCTAATCTCATATAGGCTGACGTCCGGGATATCTTCGGTAGTGTCGGGTAAGCTTGGCTCTGGGATCTGTAGCCTTGCTTGCAGTAGGTGTTCGCGTGGAATATAACTGTCCTTAGAAACACTTGTTCTCCTTCAATATCACAGCTCGTGACGAAATTATACTACCGTCGTCAGATTTTAGCTTCACCAGTTGGCTTTGGCCAATAGACAAATCTTTCTAATAACACTCGGTAGATTATTTGCTGATTATTAATTCCTATTATTGTCAGAATCTTGGCAAAGAATTTTAACACCATGAATACATTATAAATACTAACAACTCCCTAATTTTTACCGGTTTGTTGTATCACGACTATTATGCTTTAAAGATATTCTCCATAAGTGTCAACCAGACACGTTTTAATACGATTATTTAGATTGTAAGGTTAAAATTAGGGACTTTATTTTGTACTGTCATTTAAATTTGTCAAGTTTTATAGAATTTTTCAATTGTTTTTCTATAAACATTTTTAGTTTTAAATGTTGTGATAAAGCATAGAATGTTGCATTTGCTATTATATGTGGTAATAAAAACAAACAGACAAAGAAAGAATAAAGTGTTAAAAGGGGCCATATTTGAAGATCTCGTTGTATTCAGTAATTATAATTGGTAATATAGGGACGAATGCTTATTTAATAGTTCAAGTGTAGTTCATATTGATTATGTTATAATTAAGTAAACCAAAAAGAGCTCAAAATTATAAACCTAAAAAACATTAAAGTGTCACAATGGTAAATCCTATAAGTGAAAAATAATGCCCACAAATTATTTTCTAGACGGTGTTAAACCAGTTATGTGCAGATATTTATAAAAAATCTAGCTCCAAAAATATGTAATGTTTATGGACAATTGTATATTATTTATATGTCTTAAATATTTGACTTTGATTCTACATTATTAGTATTATATTATTTTTATATTAAAAGCCCTAAATTAGAATACAATTGTTTTTTTTGTATAGTATATTCGAGTGTTTAAAACGCTTATATTTTCTCAAGTTCCCAACATCAAGTTTAACTTTACTTTTGGTTAGTTAACATGTATTAGGCATGATAGCCGTAACTTTCTAATTGCCTCTATTTAAGTACAAAATAATTAAGTGATTAGGTCTCAATATAACGAGTAGTTTGATTCACGAGTTGGAATTTAGAATGTCATTAAAAAGGGCGCCATTATTGCTTATTAATTAAGAATTTAAATGTCTTCCATAATCATTTAGTTAATGGGGATAATTATTTATTTTAGTTTGTCTGTCCGTCAAGTAGATTCTTATAACATACTAAACACGTATTTTTTATCAATAAATTACGGGCATGCATTGAGTTGAAATGTTGCATGACGTCACGGCTTTGGTACGTTGAAGCAAAAAAAAAACGTATCTAATATTATTCTAATATCTCACTGATGGACTGAATAGAATTTCATTCTTTTAAATTATGACCTGCAATAAGACTATAGAGACGTTATATAAGGGCTCGTTGCGATAATATCAAAAGTTTGAATTTATTTAAGAATATTAGCTACCATTGTTCTACTTAGTATTCGAAACAACTAGAATATTAATTTTGAAAAAGAGATATATACAAAATATAGCTCTATCTCATTTTCATAATTTAATTTTCGTCTCTTTCCTTAACTCTTTTCATACAATGAAAAATTGAAATGATCAAACGTGGATTGAGAAACATTGTTGGGTTAAATAATAATATGGTCAATATCGCTTGTTTTGTTTCCATGTATCTGAGGGGTTGCTTTTCAAGATGACTATGATTTCAAATATGGCTCAGGGGAAAATTGGTGCATCTTGATCTCGTTATTATTTTGTAGCCAATGTTCTACGGCTTTTAGATCTCAAAATTATAATTTTTACGGTAAACTCACGCGGTCCCAAATCATCAATGCAACCCTATCAAGCAAATGTCATAATTTAAGATGATTTTCAAATATGTTTATGGCGCTTTGAGTATATTTGCCATCCATCATCATAACAGAACGTCTGCTGAATGCGATAAAATAAACGCTGCCTTTACGTTGATAAATCAATTTAATACACGTTATACTTAAACGATGTAAATATTCTAAGTGATCTGAAAAATACATAATATTCGACAACAATTGACATCAAATTTTGATTTGCTTATTTATGATGCGTGTGCATTCAATGCAAAATGCAATTTACTCCAATCAACACACAGTTCAATTATTTTAGTAGTAAACAGGTGATTATATACTGACAGTATGATAAATGTAATTTATATGTAAAACATAGAAAATGTAAAGTCTATGAAAACATAGAGACGAACCATTATTTATTAGATAATGAATTTCTAGAAAATGTCAATGATATTTCATTCGCATATTAATTTATTATTCTTATACAACTCAGTAATAAAAATTGTTTCAATTAATAATCATCATATAATTTTAAATATATATTGCGTTATATAATAATATCTCAATAACGTATTTTTTATCGAATCTAAAATCGACACTGCAGACTGAAAATGTGTATTAGCAACTCCGCCCAGGGTTTTTGTATAAATACGAGTGTCCCGGTCGTGGTCATTTATTCGCTCGCTTGCGCTTGCGCCGGCTAGTCGTGCGTGCAGCTCAAAGGACTTTAAGTAATCTTACTTTATTCTCTCAGTTCGAGTTCGTGTGTTACTTAGTTGAATCCGTGATAATGGCCAACTCTAAGGATACTACATCCAAGGTATGTATACAAAACCTATTTCGTTTGAAAGGAGATTCCCAATCGAAGAACATAATTTTGTTTCAAATGTATCGCGATGTGCTTTCATATAACTTGCCTCATTTTTCATGGTTTGAAATATGTACAATCAATAACAATATAATTTAGTTTTCGATCGTCGGATTGTTGGGAAAGAGGCTAATGAAGTTTATCAAATTAGACTACTTTGTCATTCTGCAAACTGATTTTCTTTTTTGCTATTGTTTTTAACGAACAAAAAATTACATCATACCTTCTCTTCCATACTAAGTAGTTGCCGGACCAACAATTATAAAATCAAAATAACAATCTTCACTAATATTATAAAGAGGAAAACTTTGTTTGTATGTTTGTTTGTATTTTGTCCGTAATGATTAGGCTCAAATCTACAGGACCGATTTTAAAAAGCCTTTCACCATTCGAAAGTTACATTATCCACGAGTAACATAGGCTTTATTTTATTTTGGAAAAAATAGAGTTCAGTAAGATATTTGGGTATTTCAGACACAAGGTGAAAAAAATCAACCAAAAAAGTTACTTATTTTGCGTACGTTGCCTAAACTAAATAAGGTAGCACCATAAAATGTCCTAATTAATTGTAGATTTTATAAATATTTACAAAAAATCCGCGAAACACTATACCTATCTATGTCGAGAGAAACACAATCTGAGAAAAAAAAAACATTTTTTTATGATTAAAATTAGACGTTTGGTTTTGAAGTAATGGTGAAATAAAAATATTACGATTTCTGCTGCACGGCCCGGGGTACGGGGTGCGCGTGCGGGAGGGGAGTGTAGATCTATGAGTAAGGTACCATAGTCATAGCGGACCACGCAGACGAAGCCGCTGGCGGGAAAGCTAGTATTTAATAAAATATGAATTTATTAATGGTAATTATGAATGAATGGTTAAAAGTTAATTCCCATCCCAACAATTAACTGTCATATCAATCTGATTTTATAGCCGGTAACATAATGGATTGAATTTTTTTAGATTTAATAAATATGATAATGAAAAATGCTTAAAAAGCTCAGAGTACCTGGGTCAAAATGGATATTTGAAAAGTATTTTTCTTTTGTCGACAGGTCTTATGTGCGCGTGACGGTGACATGAGCACAAACAACAAACGGCGTGGAAGAAGCGGTTCCAGTTGTTCTGTGTCTGGAGTGCCTGCTTTCGTAAACGCCCCGACCGCAATGTCCGCTGATCTCGCATCTCTATTTGAGTGTCCAGTTTGTTTAGATTATATCTTACCTCCAATATTGCAATGTGAGAGCGGGCATCTCGCCTGCTCCAGTTGCCGACCAAAGCTGTCATGCTGCCCCACCTGCCGTGGGCACCTCGGTTACATACGAAACCTTGCCATGGAAAAAGTTGCTAATTTTATCATGTTTCCGTGTAAATATTCTAATTCTGGTTGTACTGTCACTCTTGTGCACACAGAAAAAGCGGAACATGAAGAAGCTTGTGAATTCAGACCATACTCGTGCCCTTGTCCAGGTGTATCATGTTCGTGGCAAGGTGGATTGGATCAAGTGATGCCCCATCTAATAATGTCTCATAAACATATCACAACCCTGCAGGGAGAAAACATTGAATTCTTAGCCGACATTAACTTGCCAGGAGCAATCAACTATGTTATGATGCAGTCTTGTTTCAACCACCATTTCATGTTAGTACTTGGAAAACAAGAGAAATTTTATGGACATCAGCAATTTTTTGTTAAAGTACAACTTATTGGAACACTCAAAGAAGCAGAAAATTTTGCGTATCGATTGGAATTAAAAGGACATCGTCGTCGTCTTACCTGGGAAGCGATGCCTAGATCCATTGATGACGAAGTTTCTTCAGACATAATGAATTCCGACTGTCTCGTATTTGATACCTCTCTTGCACAACTATTTGCTGACAATGGGAATCTTCGAATAAATGTAACAATATCAATCGTCTAGCCAAGAAATATGTAATTTCTTTCGATTATTATTAGTATGAACATTTGTGTCTTCTTATCTTTAGAGTTAAGTAGAGAGACATAAAATTCTTCCAGTGAAAATGATCACTATGGAATGCCTTGTAAACATAGTTTATAAAAACAAATTGTGATCTCTCAGAAGGGAAAGTGATTATTTTATTCCAAACAATGAACAAATGTTAACCAAATCAGTGACGCTCCTGTATTGTCATGCAATGCAATTGTATTTTCATTTAAGACTTGAATACAGTCAATATATGTTAAGAAAGGATAATTTTTAAAATATTGTTTTAATAGCTGTATTGGTTTTGTACAAAGGATTACGATTTTGTTTTGGTTAAGTTTTGTATTCTTTGACTGAATTTTATTTATTAATTCTACTCTAGGTTCCATTTTAGTTATAAAATATTATGTTACTTAAACAATTAGATTTTACCCTACACAGTGTTGCCGGGTTGGACGTTTTTGTGGTAAAATTTCCTTTGAAAATATGTAGTGTACATTTTATACAACCTAATATCCAAATGAAGCGTATCAAAATTTAATTGATAAGACTTTGTATAAAAACTATTAGAAAAATCGAAATAACTCAAATAGTTTAATTATGTGTATACTTAAAAAGATAACAAAAGAATTCCGTTACAAAATAACATTACCGTAATTCACAATTAAATCAATAAAACCTAATTATGACTATCGTTACCAATTCTACGTTCTTGTACTTGGACATTTATAAAATTATTTCTAATAATTGCTGATTTTAAGATAATCTTTTTCACGAAACAAATTTTAGTTTTCTTATTAACTTGTTCATGCAATAACAAGAACTCATTTTTATCATGTATGGAAGTTGTAGAATAATCGTTTTGTTCCTCATAATATGTTATCTTTTCAGCTGAATTATTAGTATTAAGTTATGATTGTTATTTGGCTGTTTATAAAATCTGACAATAAATGATAACTAATAATATCTTGTTTTATTCCATTGTTCTTTCCCTGATAATAATTTATTATACCTAAAGTCCAATTCTTTTGAAAAGCTATCACCTTCTCAAAATGAAGGTACTGTTTATTTGGTAATTAGAGTTAGTTCAAAGATTGCTTCATGTAATTCTACAATACTAATAAAAAAATCGATTGAAATTGTATTGAATTACATATACAAATATGTTATGAGTTTAAAAAAAATAGAACTATCTTCAAAATTATAAAAAAAGAGAAATAATATTTATCTTAAACGTGACTTCAAGAAATTGCTATTGCAGTTATATATTGGTTTTTATTTCTGAAAAAAGGAAAAAATATGTATATAATTTTTTCCTTTTTCAATTCTTTTATGCATTTTAGGCTTCTAGGCCTAGCGATTGGTAAAAGCAAAAAAATAGCCGGCAGCACGTAACCGACTGTTTCAGCATCAACCTTAATTTCATTATATCAAAAGCTACATGCGAAAAATAAGATAAGTTAAAATAAGAATTAGATTGTTAAGAAATATTGCAAAATATTCTTTCACGGAAAAGAAAATAAAACAGTAACATCAGTTTCATTTGTGCTATTTGCGTATTATAATATTATCAGTGTTCTGCTTCTGCAATGAATTGTACGTATAATGGCCAGGTTAAATATAACAGATCAATTAAGAATTAAGAATAGAAATATCATGATTTTTAAATGCGTATTCAATTTATCGTACATATATGCGGACTGTATTATGTATTGACATTTAACAAACTTTGTTTTAATTTTTTTACATAAGCAAACTTGTCTTTTCTCCTACAGTTCATAATGTTGACATTAAATGGTAAATATTCCTGAAGTCTTAGAGCTGCTAAAAGATAACTGATAGAAGCTAACTAAAATCACAGAGTTCTTTTGTAGGGAAACCGAATGGCTTAAAAACAATACTTTGAGAAGGCATCTCGGACTCCTCTCTAATTCTAGATACTTTGTTTTACATGTACCTCCTCACAATGGAGCAAAATATCCTATAACTGATTAACCCAAAGCGATATAACTGTTTAATGAGCCTCTTGGTCATCACATATCTAAGTTTCTTATGAATCCATGATAATTTTCTCACTCTATTGCTCATTGATTCAATATGCGAGTGCCAATTTAATTGTTGATCCAGAACTACGCTCATTTTTTCTAACTACTAACTAGCTTAAGCATTTCATCGACCTTGACTAGAGGCCGGCTAAAGCCGGACTCTCCTGTTGCTGTTCTTTACCTCGAAGCCCTGTACAGCAACAGGCCTACCTTGCAAAACCCTCCGTACCACCCTCACGCATAGTCCAGTACCCGATACCTAAGAATTAATTCCCCCTAGTATTTTGTGTTTTCTATTCGGTCAATACTAGTACATGCACATTTACGATATTTTTTATGACATATGTACATACATGAATTTTAAGTGTTAAAACATGATTCGGTTGTGTTTTCTTATTGATGGTGAAGCACATATAATTAGTTTACTATGTTTAGCGTAAGGTGGTTAGCTTGTCACCAATTTATCGCCTTTTCTAGTCCAAGTTGGGCTTTTTTAAATATTGAGTTCCAATGCGAGCCTGTAAACACTAATGCTGTGTCGTCAGCATAAGAAAGTATCCGCCCATCGTAAATATCCATATTATAAGTTAATTTATTAAGATATATAAGAAATAGGGTAAGGCCTAGCACGCTACTTTGAGGGACACCATCATCATAAACATAAACCATCGTATCACTGCTGAAATAATGACCAATCTTAACCCTTTTTTTTCTGTCACCTAAGTAATTCTTAAAAAGATCTTGTGTAATACCTCTTATTCCAATGCATTCCAAATTTTGTAAAAGAATGGGTAAAAAAACGGTGTTGAAGGCATTTTTGTGATCTAAAAAAATTTGTAAACATTTATTTTCTTCATCTAAACAATCCGTTACTGATAATGTTAAACTTAGGACTGCATCTTCTGTAGATTTGTCTTGCCTAAAACCAAACACATTGTCAGATAAAATGGAAAAACGGTCTAAATAATTACTAAGGCGATTATTAATTAATTTTTCCATTATTTTAGAAATGACATTAAGAACAGAGATTGGTCTATAAATATTAACATCGTTTCTCTCTCCACCCTTGTTTATTGGTGAAACTAAAGATATTTTGAGCGGGGCAGCAAAAGTGCCATTTGGGAAACAAAGATTTGCCAGATGACTGATACAAATTCAGTTTGATGGTGTACAATAAATCCAATAAATAGCATGGCCAACGATATTAAGCTGTATACAAGTCGCATGTTCTATTTTCACTTCCTTCATTTTTGCCTTGAGATTATTGTTGACGTAAGCATATTAGACCATCATAACCATAATTCTGGTTTACATTTAACTTCGTTAAAAATTATGTGTAATTTAGCATATAAGGTATAGGTTTGTCAAGGTTAAGCTAACATCCAGTTAATATTAACACATCCGGGTTAAATAATAAATCAGAAAGGGTTCCCTGCAAGTCATCAAATTACAATGTATGCTTCTTATTTTTTGTGAGATGAGGGTTAAGTAATTTTTTTAATTTCTACAAGTATATATTTTATTAGATTATTTATTTCACATTCAAAAGAGTTTACAATGATTACTTCATGTATTTACTTGCATAATTACTGATAGAAATTATTATAGAGTGTAATAAATATTAGTGGTTGCGTAAGTTTAAAAATGAGATTGAATCTCATTCTCGCCAAAGAGATACTATCACTAAATAGTATCAAACAAAGTCGCTTTCTCTGTCCCTATATCCCTATGTATGCTTAATATTTAAAAGTACGCAACGGATTTTGATGAGGTCTTTTTTTTCATAGATAGGGTGAGGGTGATTCAAAAGGAAGGTTTTTATGTTAATACAAGACCACGCGGGCGAAGCCGCTGGCGGAAAGCTAGTGTACTATAGAATTGTACGTTTTTATCGATTGAACGAAATATGTATTTTGATAAGTGTTAGTTTGTGTGTATATGTGAAATTACTTAGGACAATTACAAAGAATAATATTTAATTATAACTAAATTATAACTTATACAAATTATAACTTTAATTATAACTAAACCTAGTCATACACCGTTTATAATTTGCTGTATTTGAGCTTCGCTTTTTATTAATAATTTTTAAGGTCTTTTCTTTATCCGCGAATTCGGTAAACGTCTTTTATGTCAGATTTTACTATTTCACGGTCTATGATTTTTGACATATTTATTACCAAATCAACCAGCACATTTTTCGTTTTTAAATTTGCTTCGCGTCTATATTTTTGCATGTCTTCGATCTTATCCTCTGATTAATGCTTGAACTTTACGATCCTATTTAGCCTGTGCTTCCAAACATTCTATGTTTTTATATAACTCGTTATTTTTTTCTCTTAAGAAAGTAATTGAATTTTCTATTGTTTGGTTTGTTTTTTGTTTTTCCTTAAGTATGCATATTTTTGGAATTCTATTAGTTGAGCTAGTGATGCAAACATATTTTTAATTTCTTCTTTCATCTCCGCTATGTGATCCTGTTCCCTCTATCTTCTACTATTTCGCCCTAAAACAAAGTTAGATGGAGTTAATTGTTCTGATGCCAATCCAGATTCAGATTCTGAACACGATAATGATTTGTACATTTGGCTATCCATTTGTACCAGGAGATTATAAGACCCAAAGAGATACGTTAAGCGTCAAAATCGGTAGCCGATAACAGCAACAATAGTCAATACATAATCAAAAGTATTAGGGCACTAGGAGCTTGGTGGAGGTGACGTTAACAATACATGTGCAATGTTATTAGCCGTAGCCGTAGTATCCACCGTCGTAACGCACTCCGTAGCATGCCGCTACGACAGTAGTACTATAAACTCCTGCACTGTTATCCACTCCTATTTTTCCGATCGAAATTAATCACTATAATTTACAATTTATTTATTTTAATTTAACTAGCTCAAGTTTGTGTACGCTTGCACTCATTGAGCG